GGGGGGGAATAACCCCCTTATTTTTCTCCTAAATAGCGCTAAATAAAAATAAATATTTCCCCTAATATTTGACTGCTTAACTTTACAAACGGCTTCAAAATTTTATAATTCCAGTTTAGACAGAAAATCAACTATGCAGTGTTTTCAGCCAGGTGTCATAATTGGTAGACGTCTGTCTTTTCTGCATTGGCTGGTGGATTTCGGTTGCACTACCGCTACTTGGACAGTAGAGGGCAGCTTTTCTACATTGGGCGGTGGATTTCAGTTGCACTACCGGTACTTGGCCAGAAGGAGGCAGAAATCTGCTTCTGCAACAAACCTGGGTGCCTCCGAAAAAGAAGAAAAAGAAGATGGCGGCCCCCATGAGTAACGTGGAGGAAATTCGCAGTCGGGTTATTTTGGGAGAATTTGGAGTAAAAAATGTAAGTTTGTCAGACTTTCTCTGTAGATTAGATGTTCGTGTTTCCACCGCCGTAGGTCCCGCACTCCCCGGGTCTGAGTGCCTCAGTTTACCTGTCATCAGTTCCCTTCTAGCCAAGATAAATCTGTAGTCTATTTCATGAAGACATGTTCAAATGAAACAGTAAACTGTATTTAGAGGAAGCTGGCGAGGTTTTCTCTTGGATTTTCTTCTCAGCTTCAAAATAATTCATAAATAAATTGAGATATCTGTTTAACTTCATATATTCGCTGTTATTTAAGCAGTTTTACATCCAAACTGCTCCAAATGTAAATAAATAAATAACAGCAACGATGAAAGAACAAGAAAAACAAAAACTTCAGTTAAAACCAATTTCTAGTATAGAAAAGAGACTTTACCTAAAGGCTTTACATAGTGTTTATTTTCCAAAATATGAATCCAAACAGATATTTATTGTTGAGAATACGTAAGTACCACAATACACTGATATTTATACTTATAGGTATTTAGACAGATGCCTTTTAGTGCGTTATTTATAAAAGGCTCAAAAACTAGTGTTGCGCCGATGCCATTTTTTTGGCCCCGATACCGATACCCAATACCTGGCTGTGCAGTATCGGCCGATAC